TCCTCCTGATGCTCCAGGGAGCAGCAGGTAAGAAATGTGGGGGGGAACGTGGAGGATTTGTCCTTTGTCAATATTTTGTAGGGAGGATTTGCCAGCTGAGATGATGAGTCATGTGTGACTTCTCATGGTTGCTGTGGCATCCCCCCTGGGGTCCCTCACACCCCATGCCTTTAAGAAAAGGTTCCTGCTGCAGGTTCTACAGCTGGGACAAGAGCTGGGACCTTGTAACAAAGCTCTTGCATTCCACAGACGAAGATTTGCGACCTCCTCCGTACCTCCTGGCCCTTGCCTTTCTGAGTCAGCTGCACTGGGCAAAGCAGCCCTGCTGGAGAGGAGGAGGAGGGAGGAAGGCAGATCCTGCTTCCACCCTCGAAGTCCTCCCTTGTGCCAGGAGGGAGCCAGCAGACGTGTTGGAGAGCCTCTCCCGGAGGCTGCTGAGGGATGGTAGTGAGTGTCTCCCATCCAAGTGCCATAAACATCATCTTGATTTCTGATGCAGACGCCTGCCCAGGCATTCGTGGCAGGGGACAGTCGGGGGTGGGCTAACGCTGGCCACACAGGGACCAGGGGCTGCTCTCAGCATCTTGGCAGGGCCATGCCCAAGGTCTCCTCTTTCTGCAGGGCTGTCCCTCGCTCGAGGATTGCCCCAGGACTGTGAGCGCCGTGGGGGCTTCTGCTCTCACGGGTCGTGCCCTCCAGGGATCGGTCGCGTTGGCATTTGCTCTGAGCAGGACTTCTGCTGTCGGAGGTAGGTTCAGGGCTGCCCAAAGGGCTGAGGTGGCTGCCTGTTGGGGTTAGAGGTGAGGCTGTTGGAGAAAGAGGGGAGAATATGCAGCCTAGGGGCATGGAGACATCCCTGAGCCCTCACTGCTGCCCTGGTTGGGACAGGCACTGCCAGACCTTTCCTCCTGCAGGCGATGGTATCCCTGATGGGCTCCTGGGTCCCCAGCGCCAATCTCCGAGCAGCCCTCTGAGACCAGCCCGCACCCTCACAGCGTGGTCAGGGCGATGCTGCGTGGAGGCACCAAGCACCGCCGGGAGCAACAGCAACCCCAGACAGCCAGACCATGGTCCCGCGGGAATCCCTCACCCCCAACATCCCCAATACAAAGTGGTGGTTTGCATTCCCGTTGTTGAGGTCTGTGTGTGTCCTCAGGGAGCGACGTGTGGGCATGCATCTCTCTGTGTGCAGGGAAGGGCAGAGAAGACGGGGTGAATTCCCAGAGAAGACCAGGTGAATTCCCAATAGGCACGGACCCACAAACACGCCCTCTCTCTCCAAGTTGGCCCCAAGCCACAGCAGCATCGCTCCCAGTGTGCGTGGGGGGGACCCACAGGGACCCCAACACCAGCCTTGTCTCTCAGCAAGAGCATCCCTGCACCTCACACCCAGGGTCAGCGATGGGGGGGTGCTATGAACCCCCTAACTTCAGTGGGTGCTGCTGGTTGTCCGCTGAGTCCCAAGCTGGGTCAGGAGTCCCCGTGGGGCTGTTTCACAGGACATGCCGCTCTGCTGGCCTTGGGTCCATCCCAGCTGTGGGGCCTGGGTGCATGGCACCAGGGGGGGTGTTGTGCGGTCCAGGGGTAGCTGGGGGGGTGGGGGAAGCCATTCTACCCCTGAGGAAATAGGGACTGATGGCTGTGCCAGGGGGCCACTCAGGATCTTGGGATTGAGTTGGGGGTCAGTGCTGGGGGGGTGGTTCAAGACCTGGGGCTGGGCTGGGGGGGGGCAGTTAGGAGCCCAGGGCCAGGCTGTGGGTCAGCAATGTGGGCGAGCCTTGGGGCAGATCGATGATGCTTAGCTCAGGGGGGCCATGGGGGTGGTCCCTGCTCTGCCATGGGGCAGTCACCATGGGGGCTGGCAGGGCAGGGGTCATGCCACTGCCCCCAGCAAGGGAGCAGGGCAGGCCAAGGGGGTTGGGAGCAGCCTCAGCCTGGGGCACTGGGCACCTCCGTGGGCACGGGCCGAGGCCAGGCAGGGACGTCAGCTGTGGGTCAAGAACCAGGTCTGGATCAGCAGGGCCAAGCTGCAGCTCTGGTGGGGTCCAGCACAAGATCCCCACCTCAAAGCAGCTCCCCTGGGCAGGGGTTGGCCCTAGCCATGGCCTCCCTGCAGTATGGGCTGGAAGCCCTCTCCACACCATAATCAGCAGCCCTTGGCTGTGCTGGCCCTGGACTGGTCCTGAGCCTGGTACCAAACCTCCAGGAGTGGGGATGCTCCCAGGACCCTTACACCCACAAAGATACCACCACGGACACCCAATCCTCCTTCTATGGATTGCTGCTTGGGGAAGATCCCCATCAAGCATCTCTCTGGTAGATGGCACCAGACCCTTGGTCTCTGATGTATCCAACCTCAAGACCCTTCGTCTCTCCAGGATCCAACTCCCAGAGTGATGGTCTCCTTAGGCAACAGACCAGCACTCCTGGTACTCTCTCTCATACCCAGTACTCTGGCTTGAAGTTTGCTAGAGGACTGCACAACCATGCAGACACACCATACACAGATCGTTTGTACAAAAAATAGTTAGAAATAAAGTTTACTAGGAATATAGGACACACTATGGTGATCAGATGTCGGGCATGGCCAGAGAAGCATATAGACCAGCAGCCTGCTTACATGAGCTTGGCCCCTTTCATCCCTTGCTTTGCTGTTTTTCATGACCTGTTCCTCCATGACCCACCTTGCTCTTTACCTTTCTGAAGCATCACATAATTCCTATAAATCCACTAAGTCTCTTGATCAAGTCCACACTTCCAAGGCCCCGTAAGTCCTATTCACCTTCATTCGACAGTATCCCTTAGTTTGCATAGCTTTACACAGAGACTTTCTTCTATTGAACCACATTTGTGGGTTTTGTACCAGGAACGACAATTTTAGGAGTAGTAAATTCAGACAGAATTAGGTGAGCTGTGGTCTCACCTAATCACTTTTCCTCTGTTCACTGTCTGTTCATTAGTAGCCATCAGAAAGGTAGCCTCACGCTTGTCACTTCTTGGCATGTCAAATGCAAATCACCTTGGCAAGGATGAAGCTGTTCTTTCAGGGTTAAAAGGAGAGAAAAGTAAAATGTTTTGTATGATCCTCCATGTCACACACTACCTGTTTACCAAGTAAACTGGGAGGAAGGGAAGAGACAAATATTTTATCCTTCTATGGGACTGGTTGCTACTGGTGTCTACACCAGCCAGTCTGCTTTGTCCATCCCAGGCAGTTCATGCCGAGCCACTGCAGCACACGCGCCCGCTGCGCAGCGGGGTGTCACAAGATGTGTTGCATGAGGATAACGGTGAAGATTGCAACAACCCCCAGGAGGCACCTCAGCCTCTCCCATTGCCTCAGAGAGGGATAAAGTGCCACCCCATCATCCCCACGCAGATGGGTGACTTTCTGATTGGCCAAGGGGAGATGTGTCAGCAGGAATAAGTGCATGTCCCATGCACCAGCAATGGTATAAAACCAGCGTGTTTTGGACAAAAGAGTACTCCTTGGACCCAAGGGCATCTGTACACAACCGATTCCTGTTGGGTTTGTTACTGCCTGAACACCAAGACCTTCATCAGGTAGGTAACTGCGGGGTCTCTTTCTGGAAAACTGTCCATTCATCTTCTCTGATCAAGCCCTATCACCCTAGAATCATCTAAACGACAAACTGCTGGAAGTATCCATGCATATAACTAGGCCATCAGAGATGCCTAGGAAAGAGAATAAAAACATTCATATGAGTCTAAGAGCCCAGAACATGTGGAAGCTGGAACTAAGGTTTCCTAACTACAAGAGAGACTGGAAAGGCGTCTTGATGCTTGAGGAGGGGCCCTGAGATCTTCTGTTCCGGGAGAATGGGGACTTTCCTCAGCAAAGTAAGGAGATACTTTTCCCACAGCAGTATGGAGATTTTCCATCCTTTCAGGTTTTCAGTTAACTCAAAAGGTTGATTTGTGTTTCCATTTTGGCCACCAAGACACTTCCCTGCCCTCTTGCTTCTCCCTGGGTTGGTGCTGCACAGGGGCAGTAAGTGTGGGGCTAGGGAATGCCTTTGCTGGGAAGCCTGGGAATGGTCTTGAGTTGAGGATGGGCACTCCCAAGACAAGCTGGGAGGACTTTCCTGAGCCCAGGGAAGCAGAGGTGATTGGGCAGGGTGTTTTGGGCAGCCAACTTTGGACTGGTTGAGGTACTGGAGAGCACTAGCTAACCCTTCATATAGCATGATATGTCCATACACATGCATTTCCCTAAATTCCAGAGCCTGGATCCTTTTTTTCCTGTAGTCTGACTATGGGCATGGTATTGAGTGTTGGGACGAGCATCTCCTGACGTGCAAACCTTCTCTGCTCTGGCCTTTGGTTAAGGAGAGACAGAAATGAGAGAGGGAAGTCACAAGCAGTAATTCTGATCTGCTTGAAATCATGTCATGATTCATTCCTTGGTTGGGGACAACTCTGGAGACAGACTGTTTCAGGCCATAGGAATTTAGCACCGTCAGAGAACCCTGGAGATTTGGGTCTTTCCAGCAATCAGGGAATATATATGTATTTTGTTAATTAGAAAAGTGTTTGATACATGAAGCATGAGGGAGTAAAAGTTCCTTAGTTCCATAACTTTCAATGGCAATTTTATATCTGCGTTTTCCAAATTTCACTGGACGTTGTTTTGATTGAACTAGCAACAGTTGGCCCTGAGAACCGCAGTCTGTGCTTTGGGGAAGGTCTATGGAAGACCTTTGAGAAAGTTAATAGAAAAGCATCAGCTTAGGTAATCAATTTCTAAGAGATTGAGACACCATGAAATGCTCCCAAGATATGCGGGGTGGTAACAGATCTAAGAATTGTTCTTAAGAGAAAAGTAGAGGAAACATCATCTGCTTTAGTTGGAGGTAGCCCCTCTGCAGTTTGGTATACCACAGTGCCCAGGCTTCTGCACTGCCTGGGGTCTTCCATGTCCTTATTGCCTTGGTGTCTCCCCTCTGCAGCCCCGTGAAGACCCAGGACAGGCGTCAGCCATGAAGATCCTGTACCTGCTCTTCCCCTTCTTCCTCCTGTTGATCCAGAGTGCTGCAGATGAGAGGGGAAGAGCAGAGATGGGTGAGGTGTGAGCCCCCATCAGTGGGGTTTTCCATGTCCTGTGAAGTGACCACATTAGTTAGTGATGCAAAGATTAGGGGGGATTGAGGAAAGGGTGTTTTCCGAGTGCCCTTCCAAGAGGATATTGACTGGGGGTGGAGAGAGCCCCTGGAAATAGAAGCCTGGCTTCTTCCATGGGTCAGGAAGGGGTTTGGTTTCATGCTCCAACCCTCCACCCAGTTGTTCCTCTTTGGGTGTCTCTGGATGATCTTCTGCCCTGTGCAGGGATGGGAGAGAGCCCCAGGGGGTTGTTGGCTCGGTGGGTTGCCTGGGGCACAAAGCTGTCCCTTCTCGTTTAGTGGTGTCTCAGCTGAGTGTCCGAAAACCTCATTACACCAAGGCATGATCCCTGCAAGGGCTGGGCAAGGACTTTCCATCAGAGGACACTCAAAGGCAGGGTGCAGCCAGGACAGGGATGTGGGATGCGAGGAGTGCCCTGCTTGCCAGCTCTGCTGGTCCAGACAGCGGTGGACACGTAGCTGGGGAGACAGCATGGCTCTTCCTCGACCTCATGCTAGTCCTTCCCACTGTCTGTTCTTGTGTGCACCCACTTTAGAGTGAAAGAGTCCTTCTAGGTGAGACACGTTGCTATTGAAGATGTGGCTACGGTGAGGTTGAAGATGAGCCCATATATTGGCATGAAATGCATGGGGAGCATCAGCCTGTCTGTAACCACACACTGCTATATCAGATTATCACTTTAATTGTTTTGTGTGTATCATTCCCCATGGAAACAGGAAGCTTTGGCCTATGCAGACTAAGAAGAGGGTTCTGTGCTCGTGGGCGCTGCCGCTTCCCTGCAATACCTATTGGAAGATGTTCAAGATTTGTCCAGTGCTGCAGACGGTAAGGTCTAGATTCCTGGCTGAGGAAATAGTTTCCTCCTTTGTCCACAGAAATATGTGTTAAAAATTTCTTTCTAGCCAATGTCTGGTAAATTCTCTCCTGCATTTATGCTTTGTGGGAGAGGCCCAAGAAGGAAGGGAAAAGCCCTTGTGGGTTTGGACCTGCCTGCTGTGGGGCTCAAGGAGCCCAAGGTCAGCCAGTGCCTCCCCACTCTCCTTCAGTCCCCTGAGACTCATTCAGACTTTGCAGAGGGCTCTCCCAAGCTAGCAAAGAGTGAAGCATTCACTGTCCTTGGACAGCATTGAGGACATGATCCTGGTTTTGCTGCATCTGCATAGACTTGGAGTCGGGGCTGCCAACACTAAGATAACATGGGTCCAAACTGTCTGCAATAAGGACTGAACCTCACCTCCGTTGAGCCGGATTCTCTTGCACCATAGACTTGCTCGTCATCGCAGGGCAGGTGGGAGAGAGTGGGAGGAAGAGAAAAGTTACAACAGGTGACATGCTTGTCTGCTTTCTTTGTACAGTGTCTGGGGTTGAGACCCTGAACTTTCCGAGCAGGATGTCCCCTTTGCTTCTGGCTCCTGGAAACATCTCCTGATGTCCTCTCCCCTCCCTGCCTCTGCCATCGCCAGGTGGTGTGACAGAAGGAGTGGAAGCACTGCTCCTGCTGGGTGCCTGAGCGCTCGTGGGCTGAAGACATCCCGTCACGGACCTGGTGTCATTTGGGCAGAGGCTGCTTTTCCCGGCTTGAATAAAGACGAGCAGTTTGGCATTGCAGCGGGTGGGACGTGTGGCTGTTTCCTCGTGACGGAGGGTGTGCCGTGCCTGCTCACTCTGGGGGTGGCTGTGGGCTGGTGGCAGGAGAAGCGCCTGGGAATGCTGAGGGTCACCACCGTGGCTGTCCCCAGGGATGCTCTTGCCTGGCAGCCACGTGGGGATACCGAGCCTGGCAGTCCCTGCCAGGCCAGGGTGTTTGCTGTGGGTGTGATGAAGCTGCTCTGCAGCTGCTCCCTCCTGGGAAGCGGGAGACCTGTCCTGGTCCTGCCGGTCACGGGTGTCCCTTGTCCCTAGCAGCCACAGTTTCATGCGCAGGGCTGTGCTGGGTGGTGTGTCCCTTGGGTGGGCATGGCCGGACCTGCCCACCTGACCCATCCCAGAGGCCCCAGAGGTCCCACCACACAGTGGGATGGGACCTCCATCTCCCTCATCTGCAGTGGGGCTGAGCATTACAAAGCAGTCCCCGCTCAGCTCCCTCCCTGCTGCCAGCCCCACAACACCAACCCCTCTACCAGCCCCACAGCCTCTGTCCCTGCCCCAGCCCTCCTGGAGGAGTCTGATCCCACAGACAACCCCCAGGGAGAGGTTTACAGGCCTTGGAGGGAAGCAGGTCTCGCAGCCTGGCTGTCCAGCTCCTCCTCAAGGTGACCTCTCCAATGGGTCCCAAGGATCACAACCTGGAAATGTCCAGAAGTGTAGTCCAGCATGGAGAAAGCAGGGTGCCTTCTCCTCTCTGCCTGCCTCAGACAAACTGGGACTGCAACGCTGTTCTCCATCAACAGCCAGTGACCTCAACCTTTCTGCAAGTGCAGACCTCTGCCCTGTATATTTGTGTCCATGCACACAAGTATGTCAGCAACCAGTGACCCTGGCTGTTTTACTGAATCCTTTCCATTCCAAGGAGGCAGATCACCCTCAGCACTCCATCCCTGACTTCCCCATTTTCTGCTTCCACGCTGGGTGTGCAGCCCTTCCCAGAGCCATGGGGCCGACGCCTGCATTTGCTCGCAGGGCATCTCTGCCCTCGTCCTGAAGCTGAATCCCTGCTGGATTCAAAGTAGCCCAGTCTCCTGTGACATAAATTCCTGTGGGAGGGTTGTAGGAGTGAGTGGGGATCTGTACAACCCCAAAAGCTGTGTTCACATCAGCTAGGGTCTTTCCTCACATCCGCCAGCAGCTCCCACACTGCTGTCCAGGTCCTGTACCCAGCACAGCAGGTCCCCACTGACTGTCCAGGATCATTTCCTTTACGTTCATCCATGTATCGTTTAACTGAACATTTAGCAGTCAAACACATTTAGCAGTCGTGAACACCCTTTATCTCAGCAGCGTGAAGCTGTTCCACTGTCTCATGGGCCCCTTTGCGCAGAACATCTTGAACAAGACTGATGGTGGTGTGGAAAGTCACCCCGTGAGTTCAATGTAGTTTCATATAGAGGAGAAACAGCAAGAAAAGGAGAAAGACCAATGGATAAATGATATTTTCTGTTACCCATGACATGACATGACTTACATGGAAGCAGTGAACTGGAGATGTTGATATATGTGTGCATTTGAACATCAGCTCATAAATGCATGCAGCAATCAATATGTTATTTCCAAAACACCTGATGAAACTTCAAATACAAGCAAAGATAAAGCCCTTCTTATGATTTGGAAAGGTAAGAAGGTTTATAATACTCCTCATGCTCTTGCACATCCCATGCTAGCTGATTATTTTGTCAGATTGGAGGAGACAAGGAGGGAAACCTTATCTGCTTTTTTGAGACTGGTTGCTGCTGTCTGTACCAAGCAAAGTCCAGGCAGTTCATGCCGAGCCACCACCGCCCGTGTGCCCGCTGTGCAGCGGGGTGTCACAAGATGTGTTGCATGAGGATAACGGTGAAGATTGCAACAACCCCCAGGAGGCACCTCAGCCTCTCCCATTGCCACAGGGAGGAATGAGGTGCCACCCCACCATCCCCACGCAGATGGGTCACTTTCTGATTGGCCAAGGGGAGATGTGGCCATGGGAACAAGCATGTCTCACCCACCAGCAGTGGTATAAAACTGGGGTGTTTTGGGCAAAGTGGTATTCCCTGACCCCAAGGGCATCTGGACGCAAGTGATTCCTGGTGCGTTTGTTGCTGCCCGAAGACCAAGACCTTCCCTCGTGAGGCAAGTAACTATGGGGTCTCTTTCAGGTTGGCCACCCATTCAGTCTCTCTGTTCAAGTCCCATCATAGTGGAACCGCCTAAATGACAAACTGTTGGATATATCTGTTCACATAATGACGTCATCTGAGTTTTTTAGGGAAAAAAGTAAATTGAAAATATGAATTCCTTCCCATTAGAGCTTGGAATCTACTGAAGCTGGATCTGGGGTTTCCCCAGCACAGGAAAGATTGGAAAGTTTCTGTGGCGTTTGAAGAGGGATACCAGGATCTTGCATTCTGGGGAAATGGGAACTCTGTAACTTACAGGGAGGAGCCACTTTATATGCAGCAGTACAGAGAATTTCCATTCTTTCAGCCTTCAGTTAACTCGAAAGGTCGTGTTTTCCTTTGGCCACTGAGACACTTCTCTCCCCTCTTTCTCCTAACTGGGGAGCTGATGCACAGAATCATTTTGTGACCGTAGCTTTACTGTTGCTTTTGCGTTCAGCTTTGGCACAAGCATCTCCGAAGTGTGCAAACCTTCTCTACTTTGGCCTTTGGTAAAGAGATGCAGAAGCAAGAGAGCACAGGCACTAGGCATAACCCTTATCTGATGAGCATACTTGGAGGCACACCTAGTCCATCCCTTTGATTCTGTCTCCCTAGAAACGTATTTAGGTCTGTTTTAGAGACAAGGGTGCCATGCGTAAGGCCCAAGGTACTTCCAAAGGTAGGTTTTCTGACTGCATTCTCTAAATAGCACCAGCTGCTTTTTTACTTCAAACAGCATGAATCACCAGCCATAAGATTGACAGTCTGTGCTTGGGAGAAAACATAAGGAAGATAACTGAAAAATATGTGTTTAGGTACTGCCCTGCCTGAAACTTCCCGAACTATTCGCAAGCTATTCATGAAGTTGCACAGGTAGCCGTTGTTCTTGTGAATAGGCTACAGACAACACCATCTTCTTTTGTTCAGGACAACACATCCGCAGTTTGGTATACCACTGTGCCCAGGCTTCTGCACTGCCTGGGGTCCCCCGTGCCCTTGTTGCCTTGGTGTCTCCCCTCTGCAGCCCCGTGAAGACCTGGGCTGGGTGTCATCCATGAAGATCCTGTACCTGCTCTTTCCCTTCTTCCTCCCGTTGGTCCAGGGTGCTGCAGGTGAGAGGAGAAGAGGGGAGATGGGTGAGGTGTGAACCCCCATCAACGAGGTCTTCCATGTCCTGGGAAGTGACCATATTTTTTAGAGATGCTCAAAGGAGGGAATGGTTTTGTGGCTTTGCTCCAGCATGAAAAGTCACGCAATGGGATATACCAAAGGATGGTCTCACAATGCCCCTTCCTCTGAGAGTAGAGGGATTGGTGTGGAGAGAGCCATCCAGGAATAAGAGCTTGGCTCCTTCTGTAGGTTAGGGAGGGATTGAGCTCTGGGCTCCACCCTGGGCATTTAGCTGCTGCTCCGGTGGGTGTGTCTGGATGAGTTCTTATTGCAATCACTGAAGTCTCAGCCTGTGCAGCCTACCCTGCTCACCCAAAAAATGGATGGGGAGTCTGTTGTCTAATCACAGCTACTTAGCGCCTTTTGAGGACCCTTAGATGTGTGTGATTCTGAGATGTCAAAGCCCTCTACCCCAGGCTGGATGACCTAGCCAAGGCTTTATGGAAGAGCTGCTCCTTCTGCAGGGACAGTGGGAGGATGGAAAATATCCCTTTGTACCACAAACGGCCAGGGTGACCTGTGCCTCAGGGCTTGTCGTGGTTTAATCTCAGTCGGCAACTAAGCACCACGCAGCCGCTCGCTCACTCCCCCCCACCCAGTGGGATGGGGGAGAGAATTGGAAGAGCACAAGTGAGAAAAACTCGTGGGTTGAGATAAAAA